TTTTTGACCTGATGGATAGCCCCCATCAGAGCTAAACAACCAACAAAAATCTGAACCTCCTATGTTTAATAGTTTTAGAGCAATAACCATTTTTGTTTGTCCAGACACCCCTTTTTCAGATAAATTGGGGTCTGGGGGGGGCACTGAATGGTGGACCTGATGGATAGAGCTTCATCAGAGCTAAACAACAAAAGAAATCTCAAGCTCCTATGTTGAACAGCTTCTGAGTTATAAGCGATTTTGCATGTCCAGACACCTCCACTTTGAAAGGAGCCCCCTCCTCAAATATGGGGTCTATTGTAAAACTGTTGGCTGGTGCAGTGTAGGTCACACTCATCTACTCTCCTGCCAAATTTCATGTTGATTGGTGCAGCCATTTTTGTGCTACGGTTGACCAAATCTCACTGAAAAAAAATTAATAAACAGTACAAAAACAATAAGACTCCTGCTTACGCTTCGTGTGTGGGGGTCCTAATAAGCTGTAGTGTTGATTATAATGAAAAAATAAAATAATAAAAGTAAATTTTAATTCATAAAAATGTAAATATGAGTAATTCTGTTTCTGAAAAACAACAAAAATCYTTCAAAGGTCAATAAATCTAGAAGCAGAGACATTTATTGTGTCTCTGATGAGTATCTACAGGAGAATGCTGGTAATTTTTTTATGCCCCATGGGAGGTGAGTCATTCACACAAACACGCTGAGAGAGAAACAGCTCACCTCTTTATTCTAAAGGCGAATGGGCTGCAGAGGAGAAGGAGCAACGGCTGCACAACGGCAGGACTCCCCAACAAGGAGGACGCAAACAGGTGCTGAGATGTCCGTCTAATGCCTTAAAGAGGTACTTTTCTGTTTTAAAATCCACTTTACCTGCACAGAATGGAATAATTCCTCATTTATTCTCACATAATAGGTGCTTTATTAAGTTTAAAATTACCAGCTGTGTCAGTTTTTAGTTTTAAGCATCTTTATATCGTCTCTTAAATTATTGAGGCAGTGTCGTGGTATACATCACATATTTTCCTTTTTTTTTTGCTGAAAACATTTTAGTAATTGTAATAATTCCAACAGAAATATGACTTATTGGAGACAATTTTTATGCTCAGCAGTGTGATGAAGATGTAGAAAATTCCGCTTTTCAGGCWGAATTTGTTTTGTGATTGTGCTTTTATTTTGTACATTAAATTTGAAAAGATAAGAGAAGGAAAGCGATCACTCTGTCCTGGTGTCAAAATGACATTGTTCAGCGTCACTGTGAATACTGACATTATTTATCTCGTCTCAGTCTAATCTACCAGATGTAATTACAAGAAGCTATTCAAGTCTTTGGTTTGTTGTTTCGTTTTCTTTGTCCCCTTTTTTTCGGTGGAAAGCAAATCTTTCAATGAAATCACAAATGGCAAATTATGTCATTCGTGACCGTTTCCATGCTCATCGATGAGTATTTCACATCTTTACATTTTATGTTCGGCACGTGTTCAGGATTATAAGCAAGCTCAACTTTCATCRGAATGACTGCTAAAAAAAAGTCAAATGAATAAGATTTAGGTGAAAATCTGAAAAGCAGATCTTTTTTTGTAAACTGTTTTTCTGTTTTCTCTGTAGTGATGGACTGGGCGAAGGCAACAAATCACTCCAGGGTGAACTCCTCATCCGACTCTTCGTCCTCCTTCTCCTCCTCTTGCTGCAATTCATCCCACCTCCCTCTCTCGCCCTCGCTCTTCRCTGTCCCCTCCTTCTCCGGCTTCGACCTGCTGTCCAGGCTGAAACTRCTCTTCATCCCCCTCTATGCCGCCGTGGTCCTGGTCGCCTGCACCGGGAACCTGCTCCTCCTCTTCCTTATCTGGCACAACGAGAAGAGGCACAGCACCACCAACTTCCTGATCAGCAACCTGGCGCTCGTCGACCTGGTGATGTGCGTCTTCTGCGTCCCTTTGACGGCGTCCTACGCCTTCGACAGGCGGGGCTGGGTGTTCGGGCGGCACATGTGCCACTTTGTGACAGTCATGCAGTCGACGGTGGTGTACGCGGCCGTCCTGTCCCTCATGGCCATCGCGGTGGATCGTTACGTGGTCGTAGCCTATCCCATTCGCAAACGAGCGGGATGCCAGTTCTGCTGGTGTCTGGTGGTCCTGATCTGGCTGTCCTCCCTGGGGTTGTCTACACCCACGGCCGTCCACACCGTCTACCTGGACCTGGATGCAACTGGTTTGGAGATGGCGGTGTGCGAGGAGTTCTGGGACGGCCAGGAGCGAGGACGCCTTGTTTACTCCTGCTTCATCCTCTTCTTCTCCTACTTTGTCCCGCTGGCTGCTGTCTCCATCTCCTATTGCGCCATATCCTACCACCTGAAGCGAAGAACCACATCCGGCTTGACCGCCTGTCCGGAGCTGAGGTGTGCCCGGGCCGCCTGGAGCAGACGGAGGAGGAAGACCTTCTGCCTGCTCCTGGTGTCCGTTCTCTGCTTCGCTTTCTCCTGGCTCCCATTACAGGTGAACACAACACCACACACCTGAGCTTTATTTGAGTTAGACGATGTGATTCAACCAGAACAACCTCTGCTTTACAGGTGGTGAACCTGATCCGTGACCTGGACACGGACTTTTCCATCTTGGGGAAAACCTACGTAAACGTCATCCAGGTGTCGGCTCACCTGCTCGCTATGAGCTCCGCCTGCTACAACCCTTTCATCTACGCCTCTTTGCACCGCAGGTTCCTGTCCTACCTGTGCCTGCGCCCTCTGTCCAGGAGGAGACGGAAGGGGCGGGGCAGAGGTCAGGGGTCAAGCAGCACCGTGACGGCGTCCCACAGGATGCTGCACCTTCACACGTCCACCGTCGAGGCAGACTTACCCGGCGTTGTTCTGAATGATGTGGTTCAGGGAGAAAGCTACACCTGAGGTGGTTTTCAGGCTCGTGGACGGGATCCGTCCCACGTGACGCGGCTTGGATTCATGGAGTTTTGTCTCTCTTGTAAATTGTAAAAACTTTGTTGTGGTTTCAAACACTACAAATGAAATCTAAATGCATCAAATGTAAATGTGTATATATTTRTCACAAACATAAAAGTTTAAATCAGTTGTGTATTCATTAAGTACTTGTTCAAATACATGCAATGGTTTTACGCTAGTTACGAGTCAGTCCGATTCAAGATGACCATCAAAAATGACTCTAACTCAGTAAGTGTGACATATTTTGAGCAAGGATCTGGCAAAAATTCAGCTCAAGCGAAGGTCTGCTTAAAACTTTGCATTAATTGTTGGACTGGTGTGGGCACAGTCCTGCTAATCCGCTAATCGTGGAATGAGCTTCTCATTTAGCTAACTAATTTTTTTGCTGACTTCAGACACGGCTAGCGTACTAATTAACTTCCACWACAGTGGCTTTTGCTAATTTTAAGTACACTAAAATATTCATAGGAGTAAAAACMTTTTTATGCTGTTGATTCTGAATTTTACAAGCAAAGTTGGACACTGTGTGTGTGTAGCATGTAGCATCTTTAGCAGCTAAACTTCAAACTAAGTAAATAAAATAACATTTAAAACAATACAAAAACATGACTATGAATATCAWTGAAAAAATATTTGTTGTTTGACTAGCTTCAAACAGCATTTAAAAAAATACAAACCCAARCAAAGAAATGGTTTTATTCTTAGAGGGTTAAAGTTAAGGTATACAGAGCTATAACTGGTTTGGATRGGCCGATATGCCACAAACAATCTCACTCACCTTTAAATTACACCAATAGAATCAAACTAACAGCAGTTTTAAGTCAGTACCGCTATCTTAGTGTTAGCTAGTCGGTGTAGCCAAGATTCTTGTTTAGTGGATTAGTGGRTAYTGAAGCTAAGTTTTTTGGTTGGCTGTACCCATCACTGCAAATCTGTCTCGCAAAACTCGTCTGTTAGCAAAACATCTCTTAAAGTGGACATATTATTAATTTAAATCCTTCCTGTTCACATTTAAATCATTCACTTCTTGTTTATATAAAGTGGAACTGCAACGCTTTGGTCTGACTTCCTGGTTTTTGTAACTCCACAGTCTCCTCTTTCACCCCTGTGCTCTGAGTAACTTGCGTGG